GACCCGCCAATTGCCCAGTGCCCCCCCATCCCACCCACTCACATAACATGCACGGTGGCACCCCATCCACTCAGAGCGTCCCTGTCCACAGCGGCCAGCAGCGCCTGCGAGATGGTTTCAAACAGCTCCTCTGGCTGCAGCCCCGGCTGCCAGTACGACTCGCACGCCCCAAACAGCGACTCGTCCGCCGTCCCCGCCACGCCGAATTCCGGACACTCCTCACTGCGGGGTGGGGGGTGGAGGGGGAAGGCGAGGGGGGATTGGGGGTAGTGGAAAGGGGGGGGGGGATCTTGATGGTTTCAAACAGCTCCTCCGGCTGCAGCCCCGGCTGCCAGTATGACTCGCATGCGCCAAACAGCGACTCGTCCGCCGTGCCCGCCACACCAAACTCGGGGCACTCCTCACTGCGGGGTGAAGGATGGGAGGGTGGGCACAGGGGTGGGCACAGGGGTGGGAGGGCAGGAAGAGGGGGAGGGGGGAGGGAGGTCAGTGAACGCTGCAAGATGGGAAAAGGAGGGGAAGTTGAATTGTGAGTCGGTCTGACTCGTCCGCCGTCCCTGCCACTCCAAACTCCGAACAATCCACTTTGCGGGGTGGAGCGGCAGTGGGAAGGGGGTGGAGGGTCAAGGGAAGGGGGAAGGAGGGAGGGGGGAGCCAGGAGGGGGTTGGGGAGGCGGGTGGGGAAGGGGGGGTGGAGGGCGGAAAGGAAGGGGTTGGTGGGCGGTAGGAAGGCGGTGGAGAAAGGAGGGAGGGTGGGGGAGAGGAAGAAGAGAGGGTGTTTGTTCAAGAGTCGTTTTCGCTGTGCAATGGAGGGATGGGGGAAGATCGGGATAGGTGAAAGAAGAGAAATGGCGGCAGGGAGGGTGGGAAGGTGGATTAGCAGCGACTCCAATGAGGCACATCCCTGGCTGACAAGATTGAGAGTGAGGCACGGCGCTGACTGACAAGATTGAGAGTGAGGCACGGCGCTGACTGACAAGATTGAGAGTGAGGCACGGCGCTGACTGACAAGATTGAGAGTGAGGCACGGCGCTGGCTGACAAGATTGAGAGTGAGGTCAGTGGCACCGCACTCACTACGCGTCGATGTGGTCAAGTAAAGGGAGGCGGAGTGGGGGACGGAAGCAGCAGGGAAGGCACTGAAAGGGGAGATTGCAGAAGGGAAGGTACTGAACTGAAAGAGAGCAGCAGCACTTACTGTGCGCCGATAAGGTCGGCAGCACAGAAGACAGGGAGATGGAAAAGGGGACAGAAGAAGCAGAGAACGCACGAAAAGGAGGGACAGCCAAGAGCGGCACTCACTATGCACCTATGAGGTCAGTGGCGCAGATGAAGGGCGTGCCATCATCCTCCAGACCTGCAATCACAGGCTCGATGAAGTACGGCCCGAACCTGATGGTCAGGTGTGGGTGAGGTAAGAGAATAAAAGAATAGGGGGCAGGGATTGGATAGCGAAATGTTAGGAGAGACAAGTATGGGCGAGAGTTCATTCAAGTAATTTGACGCTGCCTCACACTCGCCTGTAGATAGGTGGAGTGGAGGTCGACATGCCGAGGTGCTCCAATTCTGACTTTACCTGAATAAGACTTCTAACAAGTGACGGCGGGTTGACAAAAAAACGACGAAGTGAATGCCGCAGAGCTAACGCACAGCTGTCGCACATGACGCACAGCTATCCAAATGACGCAAATGCGAAGCACGTGGTCACCACAGTGGAAAACGTGCAACTGCTGATGCTGTGCCGAGGGTGGCTCCGGTCTTCCAAGTTCTGACGACCCCCGCAGCTCCAAGCAGACAAAGTAGCAGAGCGTGAGGAAAGATGAGGTGAGGTATGTTCAGCTTGAATCAACAAAAGCATTAGTTTTGACAAATGAGCTTGAATCGCCATGACTTTTCCTGTTTTAAGCCGTGGCTTGAAACCTTTAAATTGTATGATTGTTGTGCAACAGTTGTATGTTTTCCACTTATGGTGACCACAGTTGTACAGATGCTTCAAACAACAATAACGCACACACTAACGAGGAGGCAACAACAACGCTGGCAGCACCTGAGCTCGTAGAGGATGCAACTGACGAGGTGGGCGAAGGTGTCCATACGTGGCAGCTTACTTATGAACATCTGTTACTTATACGTGTAGGTTAGTGTGTCCTTATAAAGAGGATGAACCTGGTCGGGTCTAACCTGCGCTCGTAGAGGATGGAGCTGACGAGGTGGGCGAAGGTGGCGGGCGGCATGACTCGGTCCTCCCTCAGCGCGAACAGCTTGTGGCGAAACTCCAGGCGCTGCTTGCTGTGATGGTGGGGTGGGGGATGGGGGGGAAGGAAAGGGGGGAGGGAGGTTGAGACGAGGGTGTGATGATTGGAAGTGCAGAACAGGAGAGTGGCGGGTGGCATGACTCGGTCCTCTCTCAGCGCGAACAGCTTGTGGCGGAACTCCAGGCGCTGCTTGCTGTGATGGTGGGGGGGATAAAGGGGGGGAGGCGGAGAGGGGCAAGAGGAAGTGCAGAAGAGAGCTGAAACGAGAGAAGAGCTTGTGGAGGAACTCCAGGCGCTGCTTGCTCCGAGGGTGGGGCAGAAAGGAGGGGGTGGGAAGGGGAGGGGGGTGGGGGGGCCGAGGGGCAAGAGGGGAAGGGAGGGTGAGAGAAACGAGGATGTGAAAATCGGATGTTGCAGAACTGCAGGCGCGTGTTCTGCAGGCGCGTGTTCTGCAGGCGACGTGGGAGAATCACTGACGGGAAGAAGGGAGGGGGGAAGTGGGGTGGGGTGGTGAGGGGCAAATTCAGAAGTACAGGGGAGGAAAACGATTGGCGAGCACACAAGGCTGTACAAGAAATGGAAGTGGCACATGCGCTTAGGACTTCACTAGCAGTCACAGTAGTAATACGCCATTCCCCCACCTCATCCTGCATTCGCTCACACTGCCCATGTCCCCTCCCCCACGTCAACCATCTCGACCTGCGCATGCGCCCTGCACTGCACCGCACACAGGTGTAGGAGGCACCACGTTACTCATCAGCATGTCACCATCAGCATGTCCCCATCAGCATGTCCCCATCAGCATGTCCCCATCAGCATGTCACCATCAGCATGTCCCCATCAGCATGTCACCATCAGCATGTCCCCATCAGCATGTCACCATCAGCATGTCCCCATCAGCATGTCCCCATCAGCACATCAGCGTCCTCTCACGAGGCACTCACAGCGTCTGCACATCGGTGCCCAGCCCGGCGAGCCAGAGGAAGAGGCGCGAGTGGATATGAAACACGCGGTTGAAGTCCGTCGCCAGGGTCTGCAGCCGCCATTCCCCTTCACCCATCCGCACCTAGAAATCACCCCCACCCCCACCCCCCACTTACAGCGTCTGCACGTCCGTGCCCAGGCCAGCGAGGCCGAGGAGGAGGCGGGGATGAATCTGGAAGACGCGGTTGAAGCCCCCCTGCATCCCCCGTCCGCATAACCCATCGGACCCATGCACAGCACTCACAGCGTCTGCACGTCGGTGTCCAGGCCCGCGAGTCCGAGGAAGAGTCGCGGGTCCCCCCGCGCACCTCCCGTCGGTCGAACCCCAACTCCACCTGCTATCGGGCCCATGCGCGCACACACCCATGCGAGGCACTCACAGCGTCTGCACGTCGGTACCGAGGCCAGCGAGGCCGAGGAAGAGGCGCGGGTGCATCTGGAAGACGCGGTTGAAGTCCGTCGCCAGCGTCTGCAGCTGCACGCCGAAGCGCCGGTCGCACGCGATCGCCACGCACTTGTCGCCCTTCATCGCGACGACCGCGCCGCCGTTGTACGACGTGATCTGACGGCGAAGGAAGGGGTGGGGGAGGGGGGAGAGAGGCGAGGGCGGGGGTTGAGAGGGGTGCGGGGGTTGTGAGGGGGGTGCGGAGAAGGGGCGTTAGAAGATGAAGGCGATCGCCACGCACTTGTCGCCCTTCATTGCGACCACCGCGCCGACGTTGTACGACGTGATCTGATGACGAGAGGCGCGAGGGCGGGTGTTGGGAGGGGTGCGGAGAAAAGGGGGTGGGTGTGGGGGGGGGGAAAGGAGGGGAAGAGAGGGGATGGTGCGAGGGAGAGAGGGGGGAAGAGGGGAAGGAGGTTGTGAGGGCGATGCGGAGAGAGTGTGGGGGGAGGGACGACGCAAGGGGGTGTTAAGGGGGCGCCGAGGGAGGATTGTGAATGGGCTGCGGAGTGGGGGGCGTTGGGAAGTTAATGGCGATGGCGATCGCCGCTCGGCTATCAACCGTCCATGCGGCCGCTGCGGAGAGGGGGGCCGCTCGGCGAACACCGCTCGGCTATGCCGACATGGCTGCTGCGAAAGCTGCCATCACCGTCGTCACTACGGGTGGTATCGTGTTTCCACTGTACGACGCGATCTCAAGGAAAACGTGGAAAGAGAAAGAGGAAAGTGGCGCCGCCAGGTCTACGCGAAGCGACGGCCTATGATTGGACGCAAAGATCGGGATCGACGGCTCTGATGGACGGCTTCTTATTGCGCTAAATTTCAACCAGCGGTCCAAATTTGGAAATCGCAGCGGGTATGAGATGGGCCGGGAGGCAACGCACAAATCCGAGCCGTTGATGAGATTTAATGGAAAGTGAGAAATTCACTCGGAAAGCGTGCAAGGAAGAATCGGGAAGGAGATTATCACTCACCGACATGGCGAATCAATCTTTCTGCTTATAGCGCGAACAGACAAGTTGGGCTTTCAGCTTACGACGCGACCAGGCGAATTTACTTTCTGTAGCGCGCAACTAGGCGAATCTAACTTTACGGCAAGCACTGGGGACGGGATTCCTAGATCGACGGCGGAGCGCGAAAATAAGTAGCAGCCAAGTTCGGCGGGGAAAGCAGCAGCTTAGAATCTGTGTCGGCCTGACGACTAGAAGGTGAATGGGAATGCAGGGAAGATCCGAGTGCTTTTATTGCGTGACCCGTTTGGCGATTCCAGTGAGCAGTACAAGTGAAATGCACTTTTACAACATGTTCAAAACACTATTAGAGCACAAACACTACTTGGTGTGTTATACTTCTACTATCATATGCACAGCCACATCAGAAGCTACTTTGGCATGACTACCATCCTAGCCAATCGCGATTCGCAAGCAACCCATCAAACATGAAACTAGTACAAGACAATGTTGCAGTGGCACATGCTGACACGTGCATGTGTGTGCTGTGCCAGTGTCGCTGCAACCACGAATGCACTTCGCAACCTGGTCAGTGTAGTGTTGGAAGAGGGAAATCGGCCGAAAATGGAAGCCAGGGAAGATGACGCAGCCAAGCCATAGTGTGAGGGTAGTCGGAGGTGAACCCCTACAATCACAGCTTTCCACCCTTCTCTCCATGCGGCACAACCCTCACCACGCTCCAATGACCCCATCCCCCCATCTTCCCATCTCCCCATCCTCTCATCCCCATCGGCTGGACTGTTGCCGCCCTCCCTCCTCCCCCCCCCTGCTCCTCTCCTCTCTCTCCCCATGTCTCCCCCGCTCCCTCTCCCTATCTCTGTCCCTGTCCCTGTCCCTATCCCTGTCCCTGTCCCTGTCCCTATCCCTGTCCCTGTCCCTGTCCCTATCCCTACCCCCATCCCGATCACTCTCTCTCTGTCTCTCCCGATCCCTGTCACGGTACCGATCCCCCTCCCTCTCTCTATATCTCGCCCTCTCCCTCTCTCTATCCCTCTCCCTCTCCCTCTCCCTCTCCCTCTCCCTCTCCCTATCTCTGTCGCTACCTCTGTCTCTCTCTCTATCCTTGTCCCATCCTCTCTCTTGACCTCGATCCCCCAACTCCCCAACACCATCAACTCCACCTGAAGCTGCACCCATGCTAGCAACCGTCCCTGTCACCCCTCCTCCCATCGCCATCCCTCCCGCTGCTGCCCCTCCTACCCCTCCTCCCCCACCTCCTCCCCCGGGAGCCTGCAGGCCAAGGCTGGCAGCGATGGCAGCAGCCTTGGCTGCAGCCGCTGCAATCGCAGCCGCCACCACGTCTGCCCCCATGCTGCTGCCACTGCTGACACCACCACCAACAGCAGCAGCAGCAGCAGCAGCAGCAGCGCTTCCCCCCCAAGCTGGCTCTGCGACTGCTCCTTGTGGTGCCGCAAAGCCAGAAGCAGCAGGAGTAGCAGCAGAGGGCGGAGGGGGAGGGGCATCAGAAGCAGGGGGGAGAGGCGGAGGGGGCGGAGGGAGGTCGGGGACAGGGTCGTGGGGGTGGGGAGCGGAGGCAGCAACAAAGGAGGACTTGAACTTGGCCATCATGCCCACCCGCAGTGCATCCACTGCCCCTGCTCGCGTGCCCACCCTGCTGCCCCCACTGCTGCCACCAGCAGCAGCACTACCACCGCCAGCAGCAGCAGAAGCAGCATGATCAGTGGGCGTCCCAGCAACACCCAGTGATCCCCCAGACACGAACGCATTTGCCCCACTCCCTCGCCCCCCACCTTTCGCCCCCACGCCTCTCCCCCCTCCCCCACCCCCTCCCCCACCCCCTCCCCCTCCCCCTCCCCCTCCCCCTCCCCCTACCCCTCCCCCAGCCCCAGCCCCTCCCCCGGCCCCTCCCCCCTCCTGAAAGCCCAGCCCCATGCCATAGTCCACCCCCCGTGCCCCCCTCCCCCCTCCCCCTCCGCCTCTCCCCCCCTTGCCCTTGCGGAAACCTGTGGAGGGGGAGGGGAAAGGGTGGCGGGTAGAGAGGAAAAAGGGGAGGAGCGGTGCAGGGAGAAAGCAAGTAAGGAGCACAGTAAGCAAGCAAGGGAGCGAGGCAGGCAAGGGGTGCATCCCAGCTTCATGGGACGCAGGGCTCTGTGTGTAGGTGGGGGGCAGGGCAATGGCAAGAAGAAGCAACGGGTGCGAAAAGAGAGGCAACAGACGCGAGAAAAAATACAGGGGGGCGGGTGGGGAGGGAAAGGGGAGGAAACGCTGTGGGAAGAAGGGGTAAACGGCAAGTGGTGGTGGAGAGAAGAGTAAACGGCCGAGTGACTCACCTCCTCTCCCCTCCCTCTGAGCTCTGAACCGAGAATCCTGCCAAGGTAGGGAGCAGAGCAGCACAGCACAGCAAAAGGGGGGTGATAGGCAAAGGAGAGAAGGGATTGACAGCAAGTCATGGGAGAAGACAACGAGGAGACGAGAAAGCAGAGGACCCAGAGGGACACCAGCCCCGCCCCACCCTCCCTCTCACCCTCCTCCTCCCCCCCTCACATTCAACCCTACCCGCATCCCCCCCTCACTTCACCTTCGCCCCTCCTCCCCTCACCTTCATTGCCTGCTTCTGCCCGCCCGCCACCAGGCATCCGACCAGCTTCCCCCGTGCCTCCTTGCCCGTCACCATCGACACACGCCACTCCGTCCGTGTCAGTGTCCCCCTCAACTTCAACTCCCTACCTTCCTTACCCTCATCCCTCACCTCACCTCACTTCACCTTCGCCCCTCCTCCTCTCCTCTCGCCTTCATCGCCAGTTCCAGCAGTTCAGCCGGCACCTCCTGCCCGCCCGCCACGAGGCACCCCACCAGCTCGCCCCCTCGCTCTCATCACCAGCACCCACCCTCACCATCCCCCCCCCTTCCTGCTCTCGCTCTCACCTTCATCGCCAGCTCCAGCAGCTCTGGAGGCACCTCCTGCCCACCGGCCACGAGGCACCCAACCAGCTCGCCCGCAAACCGCGCCTCCTTCCCCGTCACCACCGAAATCGCCACTCCATCCGTGTCCCCCGCCCTGCCCGTCCTCCCCACTCTATGCACATGCGCGTCCATGTCCCGCGCACTGTCCATATTAATAACCGTTTTGATGGACCGCATGTCTAATCCCCTGGCTGCTACATCCGTGGCAACAACCACATGCAAGTCTCCCTTCTTCAGCTGCCGCACCACCTCGCTGCGCCGCGATTGGTCCAAATCCCCGTGCAGCGCGCCGACCTTAAACCCCGCGCCCGCCACCGCCGCGGTTACCGCATCAACTCGTAATTTCGTCCCGGCGAACACGAGCACGTCGCCCTCGTCCACGCGCGTGCCCAGCTCCCCCAGCAGCCACGGGACCTTCCCGTCGTCCCCTGCCAGCACCACCACCTGCTGCCGCACGTCCGTGTTTGCTGCGCCCACCTCCCCCACGGCGATGCGCACGGGGTGGGTGAGAATGTCGCGCGCGAGGCGCTCGATGCGGCGCGGCATGGTGGCGGAGAAGAGCAGCGTCTGGCGGTCGGGGCGGATCTGCGCCACGATGGCTCGCACCTGCGGGAGGATGGGTGGGGTCGAGGCAAAAGAGGAGGGTGTAACAGCATGGCAGCAGTGTTCAGACATAGTTCTCAGAGAGCGGCAGAGCAGTCGTACAGTTAGGCGGCTTAAGCGAAACAACAGCAGTGGTACGATACCTGAGGCTATGCAAAACCAAGTGCCCAACAAGCTCTCACCTGCGGTTCGAAGCCCAGGTGGAACATCATATCGGCCTCGTCCAGCACGAGGAACGTGCAGCGTCGCAACGACAGCGCCTTCATCTTGAGCATGTCGATCAGCCGCCCGGGCGTCGCCACCACCACCTCCACGCCCCCTTTCAGCTCCTTGAACTGCTCGAATTTCGACATCCCGCCGAACACGCCCGCCACGCGGAGGTTTAGGGGTTTCGCGAAGCGCCGCGCCTCCGCGTGGATCTGCGCCGCCAGCTCGCGCGTCGGCGCGCAGATCAGCGCGATCGGGCCCTCCCCGCGCCCCGCGCGCGGCTGGTCCGCCACGTGGACGATCAGAGGGAGGACGAACGCGGCGGTTTTTCCCGAGCCGGTTTTCGCGACGCCGATGACGTCACGGCCGCTGAGGATGACGGGGAGCGCGGCGGACTGGATGGGCGTGGGCGCGGAGTAGCCGTGCTTGCGCACTGCGCCCATCAGCGCGGGGGGGAGCGCGGCGTGCGCGAACGCGCTGATCGGGCGCGGCACGTCGAAGCCCGACGTGCGGATCGAGAGCGCCGCGAGCCGCGCCGCCACGTCGGCTGCTGACATGGCGGTGACGTCAGGACTCCTGGTAGAAATCTTTCTCGAACTCGTCGTACTCGATCGCGGAATGGTCTACGTGGCCTAGCGCGTCCATCTTGCTCTTTAACGACGTTACCGAGTCAGCCACTATCGGGTTATCGTCCGAGTCGTACTCTAATGCGGACCCAGCGGCGGCCGCGGCGGCGGCAGCGGCGTCGACGGCTTTCGCGGCGGCGTAGACCTCCTCGTCCGAGTCGTACCCGCGCCCCATCACAGCCTCCGCCGCCACCGACAGCCCCGCGCTCTTGCGCGCGCGCAGGAACGAGTTGAGCAGATCCGCCTCCTCCTCCTCCGCGCGCCAGTCCTCCCGCTCCGGCTTTGCGGCTTCCCCCGATTCTCCGCCCTTCGCGCCCGCCGCCGCCGCCGCCGCGCGCGAAGTGGCGGCGACCGCGTCCTCCTTCACCTTCTGCTCGATGCCCGACATGAACGCGTCGAGCGGATCCTCCTCCTCCTCTTCCGCCGCCGCCGCGCGTCGGTTTCCCTCGTCGTCTTCTCCTTCCCCAAAACCAGTGGCCGTCGTGGCGCCCCCCGCATCCCCGTCATCGCGGTACTCGATATCCGCTATATCGTCGTCCTCGTCGTCCGGCAGCGACCGCCGACCCGAGCCGCCGCGGTAGCCGGCGTAGTTTCCTCCTCCGCCGAAGCCGCCGTACGAGCCGGCAGGATTCACGGGCGGCGTGTACGCGCTTCCCCCCGAGCGCACGAAGCCGAATCCGCTGCTTCCGCTTCCGCTCCCGCCCGCACCACGGCCGCGCGAGGCGGAAGATTCGGCGGAAGCATCTCCGCCGGCTGCGGAGAATTTGCGCTTCCACATGCCCAGGCGAAGGGGGGAAGGGGCAGAGGCAGCTGCAGACGAAACTTTCAAACACTCTATCGTGAAACCCTGAGGTACTATTCCTTTCTAGAAAGTTAAAAGAACACGAAAGCAGTGAGGCTGCTACTGGGCCCGGAAAAAGTAGCTACCTATCCCTCCCCGAAAATGGTGCGACTAAGAACCTAATGTTTCTGTTCAGACTACGACTAGTTTGCGCAAGGCATCGAGTTCGAAGACTAGAGACTTGATGAAGCAGTGAGTGTTGTGTTGGTAAAGGGTAACTCCGCTATTGAGAGATACGCTAAAGAAAGTGAGATATTCGTAGTAAAAGAGAAACTGTTATGGGAAAGTAATTCAGGTTCGCTTGGAAGAACCGGTCTTGATTTGGCCGACCCTATCACCAACAACACTTGTCCCAAACAGCACGTGTGAAGCCCATTGAGAGATGGACACGTATGCAGCTCCTCCGCAACCAAAGATCCAACAGCAAATCCCGATCGAGCCGTCTTACAAGTCCGAATCGCGCATGAATTGTATAACAGCGGGGGTTTGCAGGTCACCGCTTACCCGTATTTGCGGGGTATAAAGGAAGTTAGATCCACAAAAAAACCTTTCTTCCCAGGACCGGTTCTGTGTTAGTTGAATATTCGAATGATGTTCAGAGGACACCCTTCGTGTTTCAGAGCTACTTTCGTGTCGACCGAGCCTCAATGTGCTGTCAACAGGGTGTCCAGAAGTTCGGACGTTTAGGCTTCATGTTAAGCATGAACCCCTAGGTCTGGACGGAGCACTAAAACTTCGGACTTGAGTTTTCCCTCCCCGGCCCCTCGACTTCCCTAATTTCTATGGAAATCCGACTCTCACTGATGGTTTTCCTTGGCGCGATCTGAAGCCTTCCATTCCAGCATAAAGTTTCTGGAGTATTTTATCTCGTCCTCAACCATTCTCCAGTGCATTTCAGCCACAACCTGGGACAGGCAGGGTATCCGTCGAGTTTTGCCCGAAGGGACAGGAGACATGAAAGATTCCGCCTGGGCTTTATCGCGCAAAAAAGAAACTGGAAAGGAGCTCGAACAGAACATGTCCACGAAACGAAAACCACCTTTGTGAAGGCCAACGGTAAACTGCTCCACAACAACAAATCTGATCGAGCCGTCTCCCAACCCAGGTCGCAGTTGCAAGGCAATGAGGCTCAACTGTCCTGGTTAGGCCACTGGTACCACTGTTATGTGATGCTATCATTTGCATTCACGTCTGTCTGCCTCTCATCATATGTTCGTGCGTTGCATGCGTGGTGTGAGCGTCTGCAAGAATTTGCGTTTGGTGTGGTTTGGATTCTATAAGTATGTGTGAATGATATTCTGCTTGAGCATATATTTCATATAACTTCTCTGCTCAAGAGCTTTCCGACGAACCAAGAATCGCTGCGATCGAAGCAAGAACGAGAAAGATATGATCGTTTGAAGTTGCGATTGTGATGCGACGACTATGAGAATTTGCGGGTTGACTCAATATGGGGTACAAACTTCTGGGGGTTGGGAAATTCGTCTTTTCTACTGTAGCTGGTTGGGAGAAACCAAATTGGGTTGGCAAGTGTGGCCAACTTGGGTGAAGTGGATTGTGGAGGTTGGGAAAGTGACAAAAGTAAAAGTGGGTTGCTGTAGGGAGGAGATTTGATGTGCTTATGGGGTTTCCTTAGTTGGGGACTCCTTGGGGCCCTTCCCTCTCGTCCTCCTGATCCTCCCCTACCTGGTTTCTAGCTACGCCAATCCTCTTTGTGAGACTTGTGTGAACTATTGTGTTTGAGTTAAGTTTCAATGGCAGCAAACCCCCCAGTGCGCCGAAATCGATAACTCGAGATTTACTTCACCTCTTAATACGATTTAACTTGAGAATAGTATCTACGGTGTAGGGCTACAACATTACTGAAATTAGTGAAGTTTTAACGGTGAGATTTTTGTCGACGGCGTTTCTTGTGAAGTCGGCAGTTCTGTCTAGAATTCCAAGCCAACGATTTTGAGAAATTTAGGCTCATAATCTTCGTAGACTCTGTCCTTAAACTCTAACAAGTGGTATTAGAGCTGATTAAGGACGTTGTGAAGAGTCTACTGAGGTGTGAAGACCCTCCTAGACCCACCATGGCCTGTGGGCGTGCCTAAGTGGAGCTATAGAGGTTGCATGTGACTTCCACTAAGGGGAAACTCTGTCGAAAATTCCGTTGGCGCCGACACCTGTGGAAATTGTGTGGGTCGTGTGGACAGCAAGGGGTGGAGCTGATTTGTGGTAGGGTGAAGAGAACATGAATCAAGGGAGTGGAGACGCAGCTGAGAAGAGAAATGAACAGCCACCATCCAAGATCGAGGCATTGGATGGCTCCAACTATGAGGAATGGAGCAGGAGGATGCGGAGTGCGTTTAAGCGCTACAAGCTTCTGAAATTTGCGACGGGAGAAGAGAAGATGCCGGAGGAAGACGACGCCCGAGATCGATGGATTGAGAAGAGCACGGTGCTGTACAACCTCATCCTACAATCGGTCAAAAACGAAATGTTCCAGCACATCAAAGACTTGGTGGAGCTGGATGATTCCGGACTGAAGGCGTGGAAGCTGCTACGCGACGTGATTCAGCCCAACACGCTGTCGATGGTGATTGTGTTGTTGAAGGAGTTGGCTGCCCTCTTCATGCGACCGGAGACGATGTGAAGCCGGTCCTTGACAAGATAAAGGACACCTATGCGAGGATGGCAGCGGCAGGTGGTGATGTGTTGCAGATGCAGCAGTGCACCAAGATCATCTCGGTGCTTGACAGCACATGGGACAACCTCATCCCCACCCTCTATACCCAGCAGGACCAGTGGACGCCTGAGTGGCTACGGCAGCAGATTCTGCAGGAGGACTTCCGCAGGCGCCACACGGGTGGTGGTGCTGCCAACAAGACTGCTGAGGGGTATGGAGCTGCAGCAGGCAGCAGAGGAAAAGGGGGAGAGAGAGGCCAAGGCCGTGGGAGGAGCTTTGGCAGAGGGAGAGGCCGAGGTGACTATAATGAGGGGCATGGGAGCTCTCGTGGCAAGGGGGGGTACCCGAATGGAGGAAGCGTGCTGGGACTGCAAGAAGGCTGGACACCCGTGGTTCAAGTGTTTCAGCCGGCCCGAGGGATGGGCGCCCCCAGGCATGAAGCCGCCAAGTGGTGAACGTGCACGAGGTGGCGCTGTGCAAGGTTTAGGTGCACAAGGTGATGGTTTACAAGGTAAGGCCGAACCTGGGATGTTCCTCATGGTTGAGGATGTGAAAGGGGGTGAGGGTGATGTGGGCTCTGTTGGGAAGGTTGTGATGCACCCCCTCACTCACTGGGTGATCGATTCAGGTTGCACAAGTCACATGACCCTAAGGGCATATTTGCTTGACGAGGTAAAACCCCCTAGGAAGATCAAGTTTGTGGCTGCCGCTTCAGGTGCTTTGCTCCCTATGATTGGTGTGGGGAATGCCAAGGTAACGGGAGCTAAAGGGGAGCTTATGGGGCTGGGGAATGCGCTGTTGGTTGAAGGTTTGTCAGCTAACCTTCATTCTGTGCGCCGGCTGCAGAAAAGCAAGGCCAAAGTTACGTTCGGCCCAACCAGCTGCCGTGCAAAGCTTGTGAAGTTGCTGCTGTGGGATATAGAGGAGAAAAACAGCTGCATCAAGGACCTGTAGCAGCTGCCAATCATCCCTTGGAATGGGAAACCTCCAGCAATGGCAGCGGCAGTAGCAACCGCTAAAGCAACTGCGGGAGGAGAGCAGACTGCACCAATTGAGGGGGCCCTGGATGCAGTAAAGAAGGTGCAGCTGTGACAGCAGCCACAACAACCACATGGTGAGGTGCTTGCTGGTCTGGATGGGACAGGTGCATGGGCAAAGGCTTCATCTGGAAGTGGTGAGGCTGATTGGGAGACGTGGCACGAGAGGTTATGTCACATCAACATTTCTATGCTACAGAAAATGGTGAAGGATGGGAGCTTGAAGGGACTGGAGGTGAAGGGGGCAGCAAAGGAGATTGGGAGCTGCCCTACATGCCTTGAAACGAAGTTCACCAAGTTCCCCTTCAGCAGCAGTACGGGACCAGTCAAGGCACCACTTGCGCTTGTGCACATGGATGTGGCCTACGAGGGCCCCTTCTCTCTCGGGCAGCCGCTACTTCTTGACCATTGTGGATGACCACACACGTGCAGTGTGGGTGTACCCTCTCAAGACCAAGGGGGAGGTGGCAGCGGCTGTTCCTAAGGAGTGGATGCCGAGAGATCAAAAGGAGAGCGGACACAAGGTGAAGGTGATCCGCACTAACAACGGGGGAGAGTTCATTGGCGCTGACTTTGAGGCAATGCTGAAGAAGAAGGGAATCCAGCATCAGCTCACGGTGCCCTACAACCCTCAGCATAACGGGGTGGCTGACCGGTTCAACCGGACCCTGCAGGAAGGTGCTCGCACACTCCTTGGGCGCGCAGGGGTGCCGGATCCGTTTTGGGTGACTGCACTGCGGTAGGTCGCCCTTGTGAAGAACAGGGTGCTGGCGGCTGTGGGGGACAAGCAGTGGGTCCCCTACACCAAGTGGTATGGGAGTGCACCAGCAGTCAACATGCTGAGACCCTACGGCTGCATGGTGGTGTTTCACGTGCCGAAGGAGAAAAGAGGAAAGTTGGAAGCTTTTGGGAGATGGGGTGTGCACTTGGGGCTTGCTAAGGACCACAAGGGTTGGTTGATATGGGACTTGACCAGCCAGCAGCTGACTGTGTCAAGGGGTGTGAAGTTCCTTGAGTCCTTGTACTACAAGGAGTGGAAGCAGCAGCAAAAAAAGCTTCCTACTACACCGCTGATCATTGAGGCTCATGAGGTGCAGCGGCCTTTGAGGCAAGTGCAGGTCACTGTCTCAGAGGAGGAAATCTCTGGGGTGACTGAGGATGGGGGAGAACCTGAAGTGGAGGAGCAGCTGTAGCAGCAGCAGCAGCGGCAGCCTGATGCCCCACCACAT